ACCATTCATATTATATTCACCATTATAAGTGACTTTTTTATCATAATCAAACTTTTTATCCAATTCTATCCACATTCCTATCTTTTTCTAATTTCCTTTTTAATCATATGATCCACCACCTCTATATATGTGTATTTATATTCCCTCTTTAAAGTTATAAAATATTACATTTATTTAAATTCAATATCACTATTCAGACAATACATAATATCCCATTTACCAACCTTTACGTCATTAATATTATATTCACCACTAAAAGTGATATATTTATTAATTTAAAACCCTAAATCCAATTCTATCCATTTTCCAATTTTTTTTTAATTTCCTTCTTAATCATATGATCCACCACCACTATATGTATATTTATTTCCCCCTTCATAAATTATATAATATTTACATTAATTAATATTCCTTCTGCTTATGTTTACAAAACTTAATATCCCATCTACCTACCTTCATACCATTCAGATTATATTCACCATTATAAGTGATTTATTTATTCCACAAAAACCTTTCATCCAATTCTACCCACTTTCCAATTTTTTTCTAATCTCCTTCTTAATTATATATTCCCCCACCGCTGTGTATTAAAATATTTTTATAAATGAATAATATTTACATTTATTTATATTCCTTCTCATCTGGCTTACAATACATAGTTTTCCATTTACCTACCTTCATACCATTCTTATTATATATACCATTATAAGTGACCTTTTTCATTTTAGAATTACCTTCGTCTAAGTCTATCCATTTACCTTACTTTTAGCCATCTTTATTGTAAAACCCACCGACACTAATAATTTTTTAAAATAATTACATCTTCTCATTATAATATATATAATTCCATTTTCCAATCCTAAAGCCATTATAATATTCTCCTGTTTCAAAAATTACTGCTTTACTATTTATAATAATAAATATTAATCTTACTTTGTGTAATTCAGAAATAGATCTTTCCATTATCCTAACTTTTATCCTTCTTTATAGTATCCGCCAACATTCTTTAGAAGTTTTTTATTCCAAAAAGCAATCCATTTACCATTTTTCTTTTTGTTTTTACCTAACTAACCTTACCATGAAAGATTGCGGATTTGATCCAAATTATTAAATGTTTCTGGTTTCTCAAGGGTATCATGGGTATAAACTCTATGTTTTGAGTTATAAATAAAATCTACTCTCTCAAAATTGTTCCATTTTATGAATATAAAATTTTTTAATCTGAAGTGAACTAAATTTGAATTTGTATTTTCTCAAACA